ACCCCTTCCTCCAACAAAAGCTGCCCCCCCCCAAATCCCCCCCCCCCCCAATCAAATGACAGACATCCTGATACCAAATCTGCTGCCATCAGCATGGGGAAATGGATAGCATTTCACTCATCCTCTCAGGACCAAATTCATAGCTTATTCAGCCTTCTAATCATTTCAGAAATGAAATGCAGCTATGGGACTCTGTGGTCAGGAAGAGATGAATAGCACAGGAGGGAAGAGAAAAACGACTGCTTAAAAACTTTCGCCTTCAACCACTTTAACCCTCAAAACCTTTGCGGTTGCTTTTCTACCCATTAAAAAAACAATACTGTGGTAAAGCAACTGGAGTGGGGAAAATAGAAGAACAGATGGACAGGAAAGTGTCAAGCAGCCTCACTTAACCTCTACCATGCCACTGGTTTTCAGTTAAAAGCTGTCTAGGAACCAGGAGATGCATCTGCTGATCTAGTTTGGCCCTGGGTCAAACTTAGTGCAGCCTGTTCCTCAATGATTTGGAAGGCCCAGAAGCTCATTCAGTTCCACTGCATGAAGTCGTGGAACTTCAGGTGTACTGTATGGCCGGGGGAGACAGAACAAAAGAATGGATTGAATCAGCTGTTCCAAACAGCTCCAGATGGACTAGACTTCCCATTAACCCCAGCTAGCAAGAAACAGGCTACCTTATTCCATACATTTTTTTTTTTTTTTTACAGCAGCAGACTGGTGCACTGTGTTCTCAGGTACGATTAAAGCTGTCAGTCAACTCGTACAGATATACAGTGCTCTACCTCGGCAAGTACAGTTTTCATCCAGGCAGGAAATAGCCTATCGCTGAGAACTTCTGCTTTCCCGTGTCCACATACAGACAATCCATGAACAAGGCTCCCCAAAGCTAAGGCAAAACCTGGTGTCTGCAGCAGAACAAGACATAAAGCAGGCAGCACATTAGAAAGGCCATTTGTTTTGTATTGTTTCAAATGCGAGAGAAACAGAACAAGGAAGGGGGAGGGGCAGAGAAATCCTCAATTTAACAAGAGATGTACTTCTGTGAGTTCTTTGAAACAAATAAAATCAAAATGCTTTTATGTTGTTGCACTCAAGCATGGAAAATAAACTTGCACGTATAGTAGTGCACATAGGAGCAGCTCTTCTTCCAAAACCAGATAAAATACTGCTCAAGATCAAGTATAATTAAAAGTGGGGGAAAAAAGATGCAAGCATCCATAAACACAAAAAAATCTCAGATTAAAAGATTACAAAACCAAGAATGGCTTCATCATACGGTAAAAATCATCCCCTTCCACTTTGAAGTGACCGTTTCAGTTTACCAGTGTTCTTTCTATAATTGCATTAAAAATCAGCAGGGTAGACTGTGAGCAGGAAAACAGTTGGCATAATGACATCAAAGTATTGAGTAAGATAAACATGTTTATGGACCAGCCTTCCCCAACTGATGCCCTCCAAATGTGTTGGGATTATAGTCTCATAATTTTCAATTCATTTGGATATTGTAGGAGGAAAGCCATGTTAGTCTATGGTGGTAAAAAATCAGGAAACTCATAGCATCTTTTCTGACTAAGAAATTTTATTAAATTTCATTATTATGCTTTTGTGAACTATAGTTCATCTGTTGTATTGAGTGGCTAGACAGATGTAGGATTTAAATTGGGCAGAGATGGGGGAAAGAGGGACGGAAAGGTAGGTTGATTATACAGATGTAGGTTTACATGTAAAACAGATTACAAGCACCTTATCAATTAACAACTGTAATGTGTTGACGTGTCAATTTTGTGTCCATTAACTCTTTTGCACAGTTTCTCCCATCTGTCCTAGGTAGAGTCCAGAGGGGAGAGCCAGTTTGGTGTAGTGGTTAAGCCACCACACTAGAAACTGGGAGACCAGCTGGGTGACCTTGGGCCAATCATTCTCTCACAGCCTTAGGAAGGATGCAACAGCAAAGCACTTCCAAAACCTTGCCAAGAAAATTGCAGGGAGTTGTCCAGGCAGTCACTAGAAGTCAAAAGCTCACTCAAAGGCACACACACACACAAAAAAGAATCCAGATGGGCACTGTTGGCAGATGATGGCATATATCACATTGGAAAAAAAAAAGCATGTGAAGGTGCTTCTAATCTTATATGTCTTCTTGTTGGAGCCTGATAGATGACAAACTTGACATCAGAATTCAAAGCAAGGGCAAAGTAATATCAAAGCATTTCAACCTCCCAGGAAACTCCATGGCAGACTGTTTTGGAAAAGCAGGAGTTTAACAGCACTACTGTATTGAGCAAGAAACGGTTAAACCTGCATAGGTTTCAGGCAATCTCAGTATGTCTCAGCAACACAATGGGTTTTTTACACATTGCAACTGTTAATTGATAAGGTATTTGAAATCTGTCTCACCTGTAACCTGCATCTGCATAACCAAATTATCTTTTCCTCCTCCCACTTCATCCCAATTTAAATCCTACCTCAGTCTAGCCACTCTGTGCATCTGACAAAGTGAGCTGCAGTTCAGGAAAGCTTATGCCTTTTAATAAAATTTGTTAGTTGGAAAATGTGCTACCAGACTCCTTCCAATTCATTTGGAGAGCCCCATTTTGGAAAAGACTGCATTTGAGGCTGGAAGGGGAAAAAAATCATGGTTCACATTGGAGCTGCCGTCTTCTACTTTTTTGTCATGTGTCCTTCTACTCTAAGACCTTCACAGAAATAACAATATTTCACAATTGTAGGAACCCAACTGTCAGGAAGAAGTAGTCTGCATCATATTGTTGGGCTATATGAAAAGCCACTTGCATGTTAAGTTGAACTATATATTATTTCCTCCATAGTTATATTTCTATCAGCACCTGGAGTAACAAGCCATTTCTTGTAATGTGTCTCCGAGGAACAGCTCATAAAAGTTGCCTTTCAAGCCAGGTAGAATAGTAAGCTTTACATTTGCTTCCCCCTCTGGGAAAGTTTCTTTAAGAGCTGGGGAAAATGTTAAGTACCTATTAACTTTCAGCTTTCCTCACTTACCAGGATTGTATGCTGAAAACCCTTCGAGTGTATTTATTTGCAAGTAGACATATACATGTATCTTTCTCCCTTCTTTCCCTGTCACATTTTATATCCTTTATGTACAGCCAATGTATTTATATAAATCATAATCAAACCTACATAAGTTTATATTAAAAATTCTGGAATGAGTATGCCTTATGAAATTAATTTTATTAGAGGCCAGTAGCCCTCAGGCACTGATAGTTGATAAAAACTGCTATTTTTAAACTTTTCGAATATAAATGTCAGAATAGGAACCTATCATGCATCTTTTTCTCATGTTCTAGTTATTTTGAATTACTGTGCTTTTTACTAATTCTCACACTTTCTAGCTATAATTTACCATATTCAGATTTGAACTACATATTAAAGTACTAAAAAGTATTGATTCTCCGGTTAATTGTTCCCTTGATGAAATCTTGTTGAGATTCAAATCTTGTTTCAGTTTGACAATTGATGATTAGGAGGTCAGATAAATGGAATCAAAATAGTAACTTTAAAAGAAGATTGCAGAAAGATGGGGAAACAGGAGAGAATGGGAGCAGTTTAGCAAACAGCAAGCTATTTTATTTAAAAAAATAGCCCTCCACCAAGATATGCTGTTTTGAATCCTTGATTTTAATAAATGCATAAATATAATGCTAAGGTACTGTTTTAGGGCTCTGGCAGGATATGACATAGGGAGCTAGTTATTAGTATTTTACTCGCTGCCATGGCAATATGTTGATACCCCCTGCAGTACAGCACCATTTTCCTTGCTGAGTTGTGGCACCAGCATGGAAACAGGTCATTGCAATGATGCTTCTTACCTTCTGCTGTTCTCTCTGCACTACAAAATATGGAAAGGATGCTGTTCTCATATCAATCCCTTTGTTGCATCATAGGGCTACATATAAATCAGAACTCCTTTTTATTTCCTCACACTCAGGTGAAGTACTCATTAGACCCTTACTGGGAGAGCTTCAAAATTCACCTGACCAGCAGAGATTTTTAAGGGTTTCAGATACTCCTGCTAGAGATAATTAGGGCTTGAGGCTGGAACTCTTGGCAAAGTATATGCTCTATAAAGTGTGTTGAAGAGTGTTGGCTTAAACCAGAGCTGAGCAACATGTAGTTCCAGGGTCCTAAGTGGCCCCAAGCCCAATTTCTGTGGACCTCAGAACTACGTCTGATCATAATTGTGGATAATTTGTGATATGCTGTGGTCTTCTAATTTTCTGAGTCAGGAAACACATGGAAGTCTTAAATAGTCTTTAAATAGCTTATAGACCTCTAGCCTGTTCTCTAGAACCCAGAAAAGCAGAAACAAAACTATTGGCCCCATCCACTTGCATCATCACTTCCCCACAGTATTAAATGCAGCCCTAATACACTAAAGGATTAGAACTGGGTTTCAGAATTCCAGCCAGCAGCTTAGTTCAAGGTTGTCCATACTAATTTTAAAAGCTGCTAAACATTTCATCAATGCAATCACTCATATTCACTCAGGTTTGGACTTGGTTTAGCCAGATTCCAACGAGATGACTGGGTAACATCTTGCAATATATGGTTACAGTATTTGTTTAAACTTGTGGGTTCTAAGGAAGCAGATAGGGTTCTCTGCAGCAAGCATGCTGCCTTCTTCTCCTTCAGGCAAAATTGTATGTGAACAAAAGGTGTTCAATAATTCTTTAGGTGATGGGGTAGTACCAGCTGCCTTGAAGGACCCAGTGGTGTAATTACTCTTGAAGAGGCTATTTCTTAAACCAAACCATATTTGCCTTGCTGTGTAGTATAGAGTATATATGAAATCCATTCGTCCTTAAATTTGGTTAAACTTCTGTTGTAAATATATGTTGTTCATTTGTCTGTGAAAGCTGAAGGCAGCTGGCAGTGTTTTACAATGGTTCCTGCCTGAATGGATGGTTCCAGCTGATGGTGTGGGGAAGAAGGTATCAAACTGAACAGTCTTCTATGAGGTGGTACAGAGTTTGGTTCTCTCTCCCCTGTTTTTTATCATCTGTGTGAAACTATTGAAGGAGGGGATATCTAAATACAGGGTGAGCTATTATTGATATACTGATGATGCTCAGTTGTACATCTCTATTCAGGAGATGCAGTGGAAGTCCTTACCTGTTGCCTGGAGGCTGTGGAGAATTGAATAGAAAAACAATTTAAAACTAAATCCTAGCAAAATAGAGATTCAGTTAGTCCAAAACCCAGCTGGACTACTCTTGGCTTCCATGCTGATTCTAGATGCCCTCCAGAGTCTGCAACTTGAAGGTTCTCCTAGGCTTATGGCTACTGTTTGAGCAGTAAGCAGAATCTGTGACCCGGGGAGCCTTTGCCCTGGCTTCAGATGGTGCACAACCTGTAAATCTTTCTAGAGCCTGAGGCTTTGGCTTCAGTAACTCATACCCTTGTTACCCCAAGACCGGATTACTCAATGGATAAGAATAAAGAATATTTAGAGACTCTAAATGGCAAAAATGCTATTAACCTGTTAACAGGTGAGAACGTTTTAGTCATTTAATACTGGTTCTGCCTGTCCTGCATTGGTTATCAATAAATTTCTAATACAATTGTAATTGCTGAGTTTAACCTATAAAGCCCTTCTTGGTTTGGTTCCTAGGTACTTTCAGGAGCTCTTTCTTTCAACTGAACGTTCCTTCCCTATGCATTTAATCAGGATGCTTCAGATTTCCTTCTGAGAGGTATGTGTAAGTAATCCAGATGCAATCACTGTGGAATAGTCTTCCTTCAGAAATCTGGGCTGCCCCACCTTTACTGTCATTTAGGAAGGCAGTGAAAACAGTTTTATTCTATAGGGACTTTGGAATCTAACTGGCTGCTTATATAGTCTTGTTTGGAGGGCCACTGGAGGTAAGGTAGAGTTTTATTTTCTTGTATTTTTTAATTCTACTTTATGTTACTTGGTTTTACAGAACTGTTTTAAATGGTTCTTATGGCTATGGTTTCGTTTGCCAATTTTGTATGTTCATGCCATGAAGTGCTTGAAATAATTTGCATTAGGGGGTATGATGATGCAATAAACAAATACATTCTCTCCAGAAAGGCCTACCTAACATTACCATTTGTTTGCAAATCTTTTCTCAAAATCTACCTTTTCTTTGAAGCCTTCAGTTTAACTTTTGACTATACTCCCACAATCAAATATACGTATTTTTAACCTCTGTTAGCACATACATATTTACTTCCAAGTAATACAGTTCCTCCCCTTGTTTTCTCTTTCTTGTGGCCTCACTGGCAATATTTAGAAGACTGACAGTGCAAGACAGCATCGGGGAAGGGCATTCTTCCCTTATGTAGAACATATTATATTTGGCTTTAGCAGATACATTCTAGAAAATATTGGAAGATGATATCCTTTGAGTTTGATTTTTTTAATTGACTTCACAGATATATTCAAGTAATTTTCATCTTCTTCTCCCAGGGTCTTGTTTCCTAATCTACAGAACTAGGATTTGCTGCTGCCTCTATTCCAAAAAGCCATTTGATTAGCTTTTCAGATCATCCACGCTGTATCTGAAAATATTAGGATGACATAAAATATTACAGAAACATTTTGAAAGCATAAAATGGATCTAAATGCTTTATACGACCTGTTGATTTGTTTCTGCTAATTTCTGCAGCTTGTTGATAGCCTCCTCAGCTTCTGTAGCCTCAACAATCCTAATGCTGAAAGCAGAAACACAGACACAAGCAATTGTGTAGGCAAGAATCTAGAAAATAGAAAAAATAAGAAATAATTAGAATGAATTCATTTTTTAAAGTATGTTTTATGTACACATAATATGAGAAAGACAAAACATGCTGGAGAAACAGCAGAGGAAAAGCAAACACTGGAAAAGTAAACACCACCACTTCTTACTTCCTGTAATGTTCGGCTTTGGTCTTCTGCATCATCCAAGTATTTGCAAAGTTTTTGCAGGGAGGTGGAGATGTGACCTTCAGAATCTGTCAAGCTGCTGTGATTCATCACTGACAGAACAAGTCCTACCCCCAAGATACATCCAGTACTAAATATAGGATATAAGAAAGGAGAGTTAAGATGGTCAGAATCCTAATCTAACCAGATATAGAGAATAGTTATTTTTTCATAATCCAGGAAATTCTGGATTCTTATCAGTGTCTTCTGTAACAAATCATGATGATGTCAAAATGATCACACATGTGATGATATAATCACACAAATGCTGTAATTACACACTTGTATCATGTACAGAAGTCACTGCATTTGCAAGATGATATCATGATCGTTACGAATTTGTTTCTTGTTTACAAACTTTATACAGAAATTAATGTTTAGATATACATATGGGGAACCAGTGTCACAACTCCATTCTATAGTCATATCTTGAAGTTACACACAGCCACAGAATACTATTTTTAAATGCCAGATTAAACCATCATTATTCAGTTCGCAGCAATTCATAGGTGACTGAAGGAACTGACTTATCTGAAACATTTTTTTTCATTACAACAGATTTATCTGTCACTCCAGGTTCTGTCTGAGTTAGCTATAATAATAATAATTTATTAAACTTGTATGCCATCCAATAATGGTTCAAGCATTAATCAGCTCCACTAAAAAGCACTGCACTTGAGGCAGTGTGATATGTATGACAGCCTTTTCAGACAGGTTGTACTCATCAAGTAACAAGATACCTAACCTTATCCCACAGTGGGGGAGTCCCTGCTATTCAATCCTTTTACTTGAAACAGTGAGAAACATCTGTAAATATATGATACATATATATAGGTGGGTCATGCAGCAGATGCAGTGACTCCTTATGACCACCCACAATGCAAGAACTGTGTAAATTTGCAAATCACTCTCAATGGCTTGTGTAAGAGCTACCCAAAATGACTATATAAACGATTGCCCTAGTCTAGTCATATCTCCATAGAACTGCAACATACCTATTCCACTGATAAAGAAGTAAATATTTAGGAAAAAAATAATGCTGGTGTAACAATTCCTGATTACTTATTAAACATTTAAAATTACATTGAGAGTTATCCCCCACTAGATGGCAATAAAGTCTTGTAGGTAGGCTGCAACTGTCCACTGTCAAGAAAGCTATGTGAAATTACCAAAAAAAAAAAAAAATTACCCATCTCAACAAACTGGCTACTATGAACATTTTTACTCAGATTATTTAGAAGAACGTATTATCAATATATTAATATTTTCCTAGGAAGCATACATTCTTATGTTTCTAAAAATAGAGAACAGTTTTCAGACTTCCATCAAATGATAGAACCCTCCTGAATGGTTTTTCATCAACACCCCCCTCCTCCAGCTTCTGTCCATCATCAAAATCTGTGCTGGAGGGTCAAGAGAATCTTTGGGAGGGGAAGAGAGCAACTCCACTTGAGTGGAGCCCATTTACAAGCAGACTTGATTTGCGCAAAGTTTGTGTTGTTTCTTTTAATTATTATTTTATTACAGACATAACAAACAATTATGACTATAACTGGATTGAACCTGACACCTTAATGATCTTTATAAAACAAATCATATGCTCAAATTTTGTAAAAAATAAGATAAACTAAGGAGGACTTTCTCCCCAAACAGCTCAATCAAGATTGTGAAGGTTCAGGGAGGGGGTAAAATCAGAGAGAAAGGGAAGTATGAATGGAATGGTGGTTACACGGCTGCTTAATCCTAACTTTTTTGTTGCAAGTTCCACTTGTATAAACTGTTGGGTAGTCAGGCTCTGAATACTCCCTTTAGTTTTGTTCATGTCAGAAACAGTATTGTAGGTCTGGAGAAAGTGAGGGGAAAAAATCAAACAGAAAACAAAATACCAAACAACAAAAAACAAAAAAACCCTCAGAAAATCAACAGGCTCAACAACTGAGCATTCTCCTTTTGAAAACTGTACAGTTAGTTCAGAGTGATTTCTTTCCCTTTCTCTTTTAAAATACTAGATGGCCATGGTTAAGCAATATATTTATCTCATATATTGGTAATATATCAGAATATAGGAAAATCCATCTTTACACAATGCATAATTATGTTATGGAGACAGATGCCCCTGATTTAGGGAATTAAACATATTAAGGAAAAATAGGGTTTTTAGTGGCTCTCCAGAGTTGAATTTAGCTATTTTAGAGAGATTTTCCCAGGTAAAGCAGGATTCCCTCCAAAATGACAGAATCAAATGTAAAACTTCCTGAAAGGGAGATAATGAATCTAAATTCATTGACAGCTTTGCTTTCATTTTTCTCTGATGTCAAATTTCATTTTGATCATATCCTATCCAACCTTAGAAGCATAAGCACTGCCATACCTTTTTTCTTCTCCATTTTGGCCTTAGTTGTTATTTTGACTTCTATGCTCTCTCTGCAGTTCTCTAGTGCATATCTCAGTAATTACCGTTTCTTGCTGAATGATATATTGTTCTGCCTCACAGTGCTCTTTCCACGGGCCTCTTACTTAATTCCCTGTGTACACTGTGTTGCATGCACATTTTATTTAGCATGCACACACTTGTGAATAATCTAGTATACATATTCTTAATGCTAATAAATAGTTATTCACTCTCAATTCCTGGCGAGGGCAGATTACACAGTCCACATGGGAAAAGTAAAGACGATATAGATTTCATCTTCTATCAAAAACCATTAATATTTTGTCTTCAGATTTAAATTTGTTTTTCTATAGGACCAATTTTGTGACAACCACAATGAATCTTACTCCTGCCTAAATATGCTCCTTGTGAAATCCTTGGATCCCTTTCTCTGGAATTTTACAGACATACTTTTAGAAAAAATTGCTGTACCTACAACTTTTGTGGATATCCTAGGATGGCCAATGGGAGCCACAAATATTTAAGATTTCAAAACTTAGTTCACATTTAGCTCTGAATCAAATTGGCCAGACTCTGAAATGGTTTCAATCAAATTGGACTGCAGCAATGGCGGCGAATATGTGTAGCTCAGAGTTGAACTGTGGAGTCCTTGGGGTTCTCTGAGCTTGGTTCTTTTCTTGCAAACGT